ATGGGCATCCAAGATGAACACACTCTTCTCAGAGGATGAAATTAAAGGAGCGAATAAATATATGGAAAAATGCTCCACATCACTAGCCATCCAAGAAATGCAAATTAAAACCACATTGAGATATCATCTCACCCCAGAAAGAATGGCTGTCATAAAGAAATCACCCAACAACAAATGTTGGAGAGGCTGTGGGGAAAAATGAACCCTTCTGTACTGCTGGTGGGAATGTAGACTGGTGCAACCTTTATGGAAACCTGTGGAGACTCCTAAGGCAAGTTGAATTGGAAATCCCATTTAAACCAACTATTCCTCTATTGGGAATTTTCCCGGAGGATCTGAAAATATCATATCATAGGGATATATGTGTGCCTATGTTTATAGCAGCACAATTTGTGACAGCCAAATCTTGGAAACAACCAAGATGCCCATCACCTGAAGAATGGTTGAAAAAGATGTTGTATTTTTACACAATGGAGTATTATTCAGCGATGAAGAATGATAAACTCAAAGCCTTTTTTTTGAACCGGGTATTGAACTCAGGCCCTTGTGCTTGCCAGGGAAGCGCTTATTCCATTGAGCCATCTCCCCGGCCCCTTAGGCATCTTGTTTACAAGATGGTTGCTTTCTTTCTTTTTTTTTTTTTTTTTTTTTTTTTTTTTTTTTTTTGTGGAACCGGGGATTGAACTCAGATCCTTGTGTTTGCCAGTCAAGCGCTTATCCTACTGAGCCATCTCCCTGGCCCATGTGGTCAGCTTTTGCAACAGGAGGAGGCCAAGCCCACACTGCGTTGCCCACGCTAGTCTCTACCTGGTGATCCTCCTGTCTCGGCCTCCTGAGTGGCTGCCATGGCAGGCATGTCACACTGTACCTATTACCCCTTTCTACAAGGAGACAAGAATCAGGTTTCCATAGGACAATTCCAGATTTTCAAAACACATTGGCCAAACCAAAGTGGGTTTTGCACCAGGCATGACCCACAAGCAGCCAGTCTGCCATCATGGCAGGTGGGAAAGCAGACGTGAAGGCTTTTAAAGGCAAAGGGGGAAGCGTGTCATGTGGGGAATGTCATTGGACGGACTTGGGACCCCGTGCGGAGAAAAGATCAGTTTTAGTCAGCATCTGGAAGGAGAAGGCGCATGCATTCCTCAATGTGCCCTCCCCCAACAGCCTTTCCTAAATTGGGAGGCAAAAGGCGTAGGCAGACAGACAAATCTCTAAAGCCAAAAGACAGGAAATTGTAGCAAGAATTCCGCTTTCACGCAGCCCAATTTTACCCGTGATTGCTTTAGAGACAGACTTCTTCAGAAGCTCCTGCGCTCCTCCTCCACGTCCACCAAGGAGCCCAGCAATAATGAAAAGGTAAAACATACACATCACAGCCGGGTGTGGTGGCGTGTGCCTGTACTCCCAGCACTCGGGGAGGCTGAGGCAAGAGTGTCAGGGGACAAGCCCAGTGCAAAGACCCTGGGTTTAGTTCCCAGTACTGCAACAAAACAAAACAAAACACCCACGTGTGTCATGGTGCGCAGCTCTCTGGAACAGCCAGTGGGAAACTCAGAGCTGCAGCCTCTCGGCGACAGCCTGAGGCTCCGCTTCCCAGCAAAGGGAGGACCAGCTCCAGCTCCGCAGGAGGCAGCGGGAGATGTGGGCTGCGGGGCCCTTGCATGGGCCTGCTGTTTGTGCAGCTGGTTACCTGGGCCCCCAGAGTATACAGAGGGCAGGGAGGTGGGGGGTGACCCCTTTGGAGAACTGTTTTTCTTTTTTTTGAGACAGGGTCTCACTGTGTAGTTCAGGCTGGCCTCAAACTCATAGCAACCTTCCTGCCTCAGCCTCCTGCATTTTCTTTCTTTCTTCATTCTTTCTCTTTCTTTCTCACTCTCTGACATGGATTCACCCTCAGCAAAGCTTCCAATCTCAAGCGCTGTGCTCATGGGCTGGAGCAGCTGCCTGTGGGCTGGGCCTCCCCTCTCTGGCACTGCGGGAGCCAAGTGGGATGGAGCGAGGTCAGGGCAGTCAGGCAAAGGTTAGGGGAGGAAAGCGACTCCAGGAAATGTTTGTCTTTCTCCACCAGGAGGGAGGACGAACAAGCTTTATTCCTGCCTCTGGGCAGCTTTGCGCACTCTCCAGCCCAGATCTAGTCTGGAGAGGAAGAGAGAAGCTACAGAGGCTCTCCCTCGTTCCGCTTGGCGCCTGGGGCCGCTTCCTCCGGAGCGCATGCATCTTGGAGCTAGGCCGGCCGCAGGCTGTGACTCCTGGAGAGGCGGGCAGCCTGTGACCTCCGCTCCACAGAAAGGGCCTTCTTGGAGCTTTCATTTCCAGGCTGCAGTTCTCTTGTGGGTGCAGCGCCCGACCCACCCCAGCGGGCCGTGCCGTGGCGCACCAGGACCTTAAGGGAGCCACCAGATCCGCCCCGGGGGCCTCACGGGGACGCCAGGGGCCGCTCCGCGCGCAGGACCCCTGTCCTGCCTCCGCCATGGACGCGGACAACGGGTCGTGCTGCCTGCTCCTCATCGAGGGGGACCCCATCTCCATGGTGATGCCTCCGCTGCTCATCCTGGCCTTCGTGCTGGGCGTCCTGGGCAACGGCCTCGCCCTGTGCGGTTTCTGCTTCCACACGAACGTCTGGAAGCCCAGCACCGTCTACCTTTTCAACCTGGCCGTGGCCGACTTCCTCCTCATGGTCTGCCTGCCCTTCCGGACCGACTACTACCACCGCCACCGGCACTGGGGCTTCGCCGACGTCCCCTGCAGGCTCGTGCTCTTTATGCTGGCCATGAACCGGGCCGGGAGCATCGTGTTCCTCACGGTGGTGGCCGTGGACAGGTATTTCAAGGTGGTCCATCCCCACCACGCACTCAACGCCATCTCCAACCGCACGGCGGCCGGCGCCGTCTGCGTCCTCTGGACCCTGGTCATCCTGGGGACCCTGTACCTCCTCATGGAAAGCCACCTGTGCAAGCAGGCCCGGGGCATCTCCTGCGAGAGCTTCATCATGGAGTCGGCCAACGGCTGGCACGACATCATGTTCCAGCTGGAGTTCTTCCTGCCCCTGAGCATCATCCTTTTCTGCTCCTGCAAGGTCGTGTGGAGCCTAAAGCGGCGGCGGCGGCTGGCCCGGCAGGCGCGGACCAGGAAGGCGATCCGCTTCATCGTGGTGGTGGCTGCTGTGTTTGTCACCTGCTACCTGCCCAGCGCGCTGGCCCGACTCTACTTCCTGTGGACAGTGTCCTCGAGCACCTGCGACCCCTCCGTGCACTTGGCCCTGCACGTCACCCTCAGCTTCACCTACCTGAACAGCGTGCTGGACCCACTCATATACTACTTCGCCAGCCCCTCGTTCCCCAAATTCTACACCAAGCTCAACATCTGCGGCTGGAGACCCCAGTGGGTAGGAGGCCCAAATACCCATGGGCCGGAGGAGCCAGTGGCGCTGAGCCTGTGTCGAAACAGCTTCGGCATGGCCAGTAGTTTCCAAAGCCAACTGGACAGCCAGTGAGACCTGCGGGTTGCTGAGTGGCACTGAAACAATCAGGCCAGTGACGCTGAGGGGGACAGATGGACAGCTTGGAGTGAACCCCTGCCCGTGCAGGGGCAGGGGGGGGGCTTGGAAAATGCAGCGTTCTCCTGGTCTGTTGGAACTCAGAGCCGCAGCCTACTACCTTTTTGGAAGGTTCTAGACTGATGTGAGTTTGCTGCATTTCTGTGTTGTGATTGCAGGACAGAGGGCCGCACGGCAGGGCGTGTGGAGGTTGTGTGCCTTGGGTTGGGGACAGCTCAGCTCCTGTCATTTTAAGTTGCCGAGGAAATAAAGCTGAGTGCTCTGGGGCCAGTTAATGAGCTTAATGACTCCCAGCATTTCTCTCCCTCCCACTTCTGCCCTTATCTTGGGAGTCAGAACCTGGACTAAGTGCAGGCTTTGCTTCCCGACTGAGCATGGACGCTCAGTAACTGTGTGGTCTCAGCCTGGCGTCCCCGTCCTCTCCGCCGGTCCTCCCACCAGTCACCCCTTTGTTCATTTCGTTTCCAATGTTTTGACTCCCAAGGAGCGCAGCAATGATAGAGAAACCTCTTGCTTTGACCTTGAAGGACCCCCATGCTTCTGCACATCTTTGCATTCAAAGGAAAGTGCTGAAGGTTATGCTTTATTGCCCTGGTTTCTCCAGGGCAACAGAGAGCTTGAGGAGGAGGGGGATGCCTGCGGCCTTTGAGATAAGCTGTGTCCAGGCTAATAGCTTTTGGCTCTCCTTACGTGAGTGAGGATTGCAGTGCTTCACTTTCCAAGTATTTACTGACCTCACCCTCAGCTTCAGGCACGGTTCTTTCTGCCCAGAGGATCATTCGTCAACTTTGTGTGACAGTGAAGTTTCGGAGTGGCAGAGCTGTTTAAAGCCTTTGCCTGTTCACCGAATAGTTTCTTTTCTTTTCTCTTTTTTTTTCTTTCACGGAATAGTTTCTAGACCTGTTCTGTGCAAGCTGTAGGATTCCCCTCTCATCCAGGGACACTTACGCATTTGTATTCCCCAGATCTACTCTGGAACTCTCAAAACTAGGTGAGGGCCTGGGGAGATAGCTCAATAGAATAAGCACTTGTCTGGCAAGCGCAGGGTCTTGAGTTCAGTCCTCGGTAACACACACACACACACACACACACACACACACACAAAACAAAACCAAAAAACCTAGGTGATTCCCCGCAACGACAACCTGCTCCTGCTCCAAATTAAGGGACAACATCCCACTAAACCTGGCTCCCTTCTCCGACACTGCAAAATGGTGAAAACGGCACTCTATTCCTTAAGGTATGCTGCCCCAGGCCCAGGAGCTCCCTCTGCCAACCTCTCCTACATTAGGCTCAGAGTGTGCCCCCACTCACCTGTCATTCCCTTTTTCAGAGATTCAGCAGAGCCTGGGCAGGAAGAGCGTGGTCCGTAGAAGATAAGTCTGTCCAAGTCTGAATCCCGGCTTAGGCACTCCTTACACTTGCGTGTGGGGTCGTGGGGCAGATTTTGTGGAGCCACTTGCAGTTTGCTCATGTCAGACAGGAGTGACAGTAATGTTGACTTCCTACTTTCAATGAATGCAGATGCAGTTCCAAAGCATAAAGGACTTTGTTTGCCATTTTGCCCCTGGTACCTAGAAAAACGCTCGCCTGAGTTACACGCTCATTCAAGGCTTTTTTTTTTTTTTTTTTTTTTTTTTTTTTTTGTCTTTCTGAGACAGGATCTCACTGTGCAGTTCAGGCTCGCCTTGAGCTCACTTTGTAGCCCAGGCTGGTCTCGAACTTGTAGTAATCCTCCTGCCTGAGCCTCCGGCGTGCTGGGATTACAGCTATGTGCCGCCAAGCCCAGCACACCCGGCCCAAGACTTGTGGAATGCGTGCAGGGAGCAGCACAGGGAAACCCCAAGCTGTGTCCAGAAGTAAGCGTGGACGCTGTGATCTATTATATTAATACATTTTACACATAAAGAAAGTGAGGCACAAGCTGGGTGCTCCTCAGTGCCACATCCCTCTACTCCCAGCACTCGGGAGGCTGAGGCAGGAGGATAACGTTAGAGTTCAAGGCCAGCCCAGGCTACCTAGTGAGACCTTGTCTGAAAAAAAAAAAAACCAAAAAAAAAAAA